TCACATCACATCACATCACATCACATCACATCACATCACATCACATCCATCCATCCATCCATACATACATACGTACGTACGTTACATACATATGTGTGTGTATTCCTTTATCTGTACGTGCAAATTTGATGGGAATGAACATATCTATCTAGCACACAAAAACACCTCCTTTGCAACTTTATACCAGGGTGCCTCCGCACGAGGAACCGTACGCACAGAGGCAGCATGCGAAGGAAGCCAAAGCATGCAGCACCGGCACCCGGCACCCAGCACCAGCACCGGCGCCAGCAACCTGTCTCCACCACGTGCACAGCCAGCTCACAGCACCAGCACCAGCACCGGCACCCAGCACCAGCAACCTGTCTCGAAAGCGCGCACGGGCAACTCATTTCTTTTTTTGAAGTATGAACCCCATAGCTTCGCCATCTGGGGAAAAAGAAAAACATTCCGTTTGTGCAGCGCGCACTAAAGACTTGCCTCTTGAAAATGAGTACACCATAGTTGTATGCTCCTGCTCGGGATGCCGACATGCTTTGATTTTGTTAATGTTCGATTGCAAATCCTGGCGCCTTGCTTTCCACGTCAAGACGCCCGGAGAAATGCAGTCAGCAGAGTTATTTTATACTATATATATATACTTAGACACATCTGGTGCAACAGGTCACCCCTTCATATTCAGGTATCTGCCTTGAGATGGCCCAAATACATGCACAGTAGGCGTTTAGAGACGAATAGTCATGTACATTCTGATCCTGTAGATTGACCCAGTAATATGTACAAATGATCGTGTTTGGAGGTGGGCCACTGACTTTGGTTAGGGGTCTGTGTGCCTCTGCTCTGGGCATACAATCTCCAAAGTTTGCAAACTACGTGGTAGACCCAGAAATCACCGGAAAAAGGAATTCGCAAACCTTCCACACAGAAAGTAAGAACCAAATCAGCTTCAGGCCCAACTTGGAGCGAACACTCTAAAAACTACTTTCCATGTCATCCCATCCATCACACCATCCCATCCAAAGTCACGACGCATGGAACCACGGCCGAGGCACAGGAAGCTGAGGCCCTCGCAGAAGGTCACTCCACGACCGCTGATGGAGACCGAAGGGCTCAGCGCCTCTGCTGCGTGCCACCAGGCGTTGGGGATGAAGATGGCATCCCCTGCAGAAGCTCACTCACACAACTCAGCAATCCCCAAAGCGATCCCAAAGAGTTCTGACCAGCGATGCCGGCAAATTTGTTTCGTGGTAGAAGGTCAACGTCTTTATCACAAAGCCGACGAGAAAAGTGAGAACGGAGGGCCATCTCTATGTGGTCTGTGGGATCCCACATATTAGTCTCTAACACTTCAGAAATTACCCGTCTGCGAGGTAGGATGTACGACAAGAGCTGCGCCTGGCTCCAGAACAACTTCCAGAGCTTTGCCACCAGACCGCTCAATCTCATCCAGAGAAAGCTTGGAGTATCTTGTTCCTTGGCAAAATGGCAGCTACAAGTTTATGAGGGCTTCTGCTCAAATGAAACTTGCACCTTTGGAAAGTGAGGACATTGGAGGCTGTCAAGGTCACAGAAACAAACATTCTGGAAAATGAAAGCCAACTTGATGAACTCATCCATTCCCTCAACGGCTCATGTGTCCCTGACATGTGCAGGCAAATAAAAGGCACCCTTGCTTCAACCCCAACCAGCTCATCAAACCGTCAGCCCCAGAGTCCATGCTCCGCCAGGCAGTGTGGCCGCTCTTCTGGCTGCACATGCGTTGCACCGGGCGGAAAGAGCACCAAACGCTTCCGCCCATAGACCTGTATGGGCTCAGAATGGTGGGTTTTTTGAGAGCATAGTTGGTCCTTGTACCGAGGTTTCAGTAAGTTTCTTCACAAACTTAGTGAAGGGGAGTTGTTGAAGTGTTGCTTGCTTCGCTGCCAGTGGTACATTGAGAACTTGGTATAATGAGAACAATGGAACTTGCATGGAGTCGTTTGTAGTTGCTCCTAATCCCGGTTGGCATTTAGACGAGTCATGTCGCTCCAATATGCTCCAATTGGCTCCTGGAGTTGCCAGCCAATTGCGGCGAACCACAGGTTTCGTCCATCACTCCAAGAACGCCTTGAAGCCACAAGTACAGCAAAGAGCTGGTGTGTGTTTGTGTGCGCATTCTCATCTAGGTTTTTGTGCCATCATTTAAAAAATGCCAACTTCGTGCACCAACTTTGGGGGATCAAATCAAAAGGATGATTTATCTAACCGAAAAGGTGAGTTGAGGTTTTCAGACTTCAAAAAAGACTTCATGTGGCCAAGCAGTGCGAAGCAGTAGACAAAATTATACGCATCTATATATATATAATAATCCAGTAAAACACCCTGTCACAGTCCAACATACTCTAAGGGCAAGCTGACATGGCCGATGTCAGTCCAGTTCTAGACTAGTACGGCTCAAAACCGCAGGTGAATTCAAGGCACAAAACTCCTTCGTAGGTCAAGAAACTGGTTCCAACAATTCATAATTGACCAGAACCGATGGCCGCCAAAATCATGAAAACTTTTGCAGCATGCCAAAATCCGAAAGAAACACAAAACAACCCACAGTGTGTCTGCAACCAGGAGCCAAGCCTGGTGCAGCACGGAGCAGGGCTCGTCATCTTGATGCAATCCTACAAATTCAAAGGAAATTGTTCCAGGCAATATATAAATACAATATCTCCTGCTTCAAGAGGTAGGAGCCTTGGAAGAAGAAAACCAATTGAAGTTCCAATAAATCCAGTGCGAGCAAATTGGTGCGCGTCAAAAACGAACCTCTTGGTTTCATCCGGTCTCCCTGCCACAAACAAATTGACCTAGCTGTTTCCGGTCCTGTGCGCGCTCCCTTGGGGCTGATCCACAACACTGCCTCAACCCAGTCGGCATCTGGCGCGAAGCCCACGCTCGAGGGCACCAAACTGGTCAGCACGCGCGACCCAAAAGCCTCGCCCCGCTGGGCACGCCAACGAAGCAACGGCAAGGAATTCCTGAGGCAGATCTGTGGACAGATTCTGGTGTAAGTGTGAGACGCACTCCAGGATATAGCTATTGGTTTTAGATGAAGTGCTCAAGAATTCGTGTTGGCGTTCAAGTTTGTCGAACTGGCACTTCAAAATCTAGCCCGCTTGCCTTTAACCTAATACAGTTCATCTTTCGATATGTACAATGAAGTCTGTCTATCTCTCTATCTATCGGTCTATCTATCTATCCATCCGTCCATCCATCCATCCATCGATCTATCTATCTACCTTCGCCGGGGGAACTACCTTTCTTGCATGTGTCATCGTAACCTGTAACCCTTTCGGTTCCGCATGGGTGATCAGAAAGCAGTAACGCTCCTATTTATCTTGAGCCAAAAATGTCCCAAATCCCCCCCTGGACACGAGGTGATTCGAGCTTGTGTCCACTTTGAGACTACTCTGCACACCACAATCATGTGACAGCTTTCGCTATCGAAGATCGTCCTGAAAGTGCTTCAAAACCCATCGCCTTCAAATGGCGTTCTACAGCTTCACTGGCCAGTGCTTTTGTACAAATGTCAGCTGTGTTCAATTTCGCGTCGATCTTAACAGTTCGAATACTCCTTCTGCCAATTTCTCTTGAATCCGAGTCTGATCGATTTTCCGAGTCCAAGGCGGTTGCATGTTCCAAGTGCTGCGGACGAGTCGGTGTAAACGTGGAGTAACGCCCCAACTTCTGAGCACCTACAAAGCACACACTTGAGATTTTGCGTACTGATTTGGTTGCGGTTTGCCACACACACCAACCTGGCTGGGTTCCCAAATCCTGAAAAGACCAGAGGGGGGGTCTCAGTTCCTGTAGTTAAAGGCCAGAAATCAAACTCCACGGTGCGACGAAACGACAGGATGACGACGTACGTTCTTGTCTGCCGCGCACTAGCCCTTTACGGAGCCAAATTTTTTCCAGGTACGTCCAGCTGGCCAAGCTGGATATCCCACCAGGTTTGTTAGACAGGTCTGCAATCTGGCGCCGTCTCTCCCTGCAAACTATTTCAATCTGCTGGGAAATACATTCCAACAGGAACCTTGTGACTCCAAAGGTTACACACTTATGGATATGCGTACTGACTTGACAGCGGTGCCACACGCCAGTCTAAGAAACCCAAATCCTGAAAAGTCCAGGAAAGTCCTAAAGAGCCTGGGGGTCTTCAAAAGGAAGCGAGGCCAAAAGCTCAAGGCGGGGCCGATCCGACAGGATGACGACGGGCGCTCACAACT